TGAGATCAAAGCTCATTTGTTTGCCGACATCATGTGCAGTCTGATCGAACAAACCTCACCTGTGAACCAGATCTCCAGGTGTGGTAATTCTGCCCGACACGCAGCATGAAACACGTTAAATCTGAATGAAACCATGACAAAAATAAAGTAAGTAATACTCCAAATGCAGTTTTCTGTTTGTGTAAAACACAGAGCAGGTGGAAGCAGAGTTACAGAGTTTCTTGAGTTACAAAGATGAGTGAGGCACAAACTAAGACATGTTAGATAAGAGTATTATCTTAGTCTGGCATCATCTCGTCTTTTTTGTTCTGCAAATTCTTGTTCTTACTGTGTTTGTCCTGCAAAATTATTACAGCATGTTTTCACAGCTTTTAACCACACTGAACTGAACATGGCAGAACTGCAAATTTATGCCACTTCACAAAATAAACACTATGACAGTTTGTCAGAGGCCTGGCAGCAGGAGAATGGTGCATTCTGGGTTTTCTTTGCCTTTTGAATGTCTCCATCTGCTGGTGGAGTTGGTGTAGTGACACAGCCACAGAAATACCTGAAAAGCAATGCACACAACACTGACTTTAGGTGGTCAAGTCATTTTTAGCTCGACTTTCCATGATGACAAGACGTGATGAAATTTCATAAACATACTTAAGTTATAAAGAACATTAAAGTGCTTTAAAGTAAGTGTGTGTTTTAAATCATATTTACCTTTGCGAAGATCATTTAGAAAAGACACGCCACCCTTATTTTGTCAATCATTAGGAAGAAATTTTGTGCTTTTGGGTTTGTCTCAGGCGCTATAAATAAATCAGAGAGTATCTTTAAATCTTATATCTCATATTCTGAAAAACATCCACAGATCCATGTTGACAGAAACATGAAAATTAATTAACTAAATATCTCTGCTAGCTCAAAGAGACCCCCACACTGCTCTTTATCTTTAAGATACACAGGCTACTTTGAGATAATGCCAGCAAAGGAACACAGAGAGTTCTTATAACTCACAAAGAAAAAAAACTCTAATTCAAACACTCAGATTGCAGGTTTCTCTCAAGTTTAAAAATTCACAGGGCTTTGGTTGATGTTCCAAAAACCCTGAGAAGATTAATATGTTTCCAGTTTTAGTATGGTCACTGTAAATAATTTAAAGGCTCATTATCAGCCCAGGGCTCGGGGATGGTTATTTTTGCTGAAATCAGTGGACTGATGAAATCTGTAGCATCAGTTTGGGTCCGAAGTGACTGGAAATGAAGGGTTGCACTGCTCAAACCTCTTATAATGTTTAAAAATGTAACACAAGTAGGTAATAAAACACTGGAGTATGAGTGAAATAGAGTTTTAAAATGACATAAAATCAGTCTTAACCCTTATCTACTTAAGTACAGTAACACTAGTTTTACAGTCTGTCTAGTCACTACAAAAAAGCATAACAACTCAAACATCATGAATTATAACTGATATTTTAAGTGGGGCTGGGCAATATATCGATATTATAATCAAAATGATGACACTGAGACAAGATATTGTCTTAGAATTTACATATTTAGTGTCGTCTTTTCCTGGTTTTAAAGGCTGCGTTACAGTGAAGTGAACTCACCAGACAGTTCCATCATTAACCACTAACACCAATCATCAACAATGTCGTCACAATATCACAAATATAGGTAAGGTACTTGGTTTGATTTTCTTCATATCGCCCAGCCCGCACAGCACAGAGGGTCTCGAGGCTTTCTGTTCTCTTCAAGTAGAGGCAGTCACGTAGTATATGTTGGGAGTGTTGGTCAAGTTTGGAGGAGGCGTTGCTGTTAGAGATGGTCTAATATCAACTCCTGAACTTGCATATCGGCTGATACCGAGTACTGATCCAATACCACTGCATCAACCTCCTGAGACCCCGTGTCCTCATTTGAGGACATTACATTTTGGGTTTACTGGACCTTATACTTTTCTGCTTATTTTAGACCTGTTGTCCTCATTTGTGGACACTTTTTTGTGCCATCTAGTAGTATAGTGGGTCTGCATAGCTATAAAATTGTTCATTTTTGTGATAAAAGCACCAAATTTGGCAGATGTGTTGACAAATATATTTAGAACAAATCTGGATAATGGGGCATCAGAAACTCGCCCCCTGGTGGCCAGAGCAGGCAATTGAATCCTACCTGCCCATGGACCCGTCCCGTTAATTGGATCCACTCCAAAATATAATGGCTTCTAAGTTGGACCATGCTATATTCCTTCACCAAGTTTTGTGAAAATCGGTGTTCTATTCCAGTATATTAAGCTATAAATGTACCAATTAGGAATTATACAAAAACTGCCTGACTGATTTTCACAAAATTCGGTGGAGGGATGTAACACATTCCAACTTAGAATACAATAAATTTTGGTGTTGATCCAACTCAGGGGGAATGTCCACTGGCCGCCCACATGTGGCCACCCACACTTGGCCGCCCATTCACTTTCATTCATTTTTTGGATGAGGATTACGTGAAAACTGTCCAACCGATTTTCACAAAACTTAGTGGAGGCATGTAGCATGGTCCAACTTAGAAGCCATTACATTTTGGAGTGGATCTAATTAATGGGACGGGTCCATGGGCAGGTAGGATTCAATTGTCTGCTCTGGCCACCAGGGGGCGAGTTTCTGATGCCCTGATATCCACATTTGTTCTAAATATATTTGTCAACACATCTGCCAAATTTGGTGCTTTTATCACAAAAATGATTCTAGAAACATATTGAGCTATGCCACCCTACTAGTAGCAAAACCACAATCCACTAGTCCATGTAAAAAGAAGATGGCAGCCAAGTCAGTCTGCAGCCGAGCCCAACACAAAAGTTGACAAGGTCCAAAACCTGATCAAATTTAATGGTTGTTATTTTAGCAATGGCAATTAGCTAAGACATTGTTAATTTGAAAGTACTGGTTTGAAGACACTGAGACTTTATTGTTGACAATGTTTAGTTTTTATACTTATCAGGTCCTACTGATTCCAAATAGCTAGGTGAAATTAAAAATGCACACCAAACAACAGTTTGGGTCTCAGGAGGTTAAAAATAAATTAACAGCTGCATACAACTGTATACATGTGAAATGATTGCTGTTGAGTGTAGTTACACAGACATGAATAGGTTTATTAGGCTTATCCTGGTTATCACATTCAGGATATGGTGTTTACACGAGCACAGAGAATACTCCAGCTAGCATATTCCACTTTCTCATAAATGGAATATGGTGTTAAAATGCTCAAACACATAAATGGAATTCTCCATAAACCTGATCATAAATGGGTTATTCATGTCCATGACAACACACTGACTGTTGTACGGCATGGTTGAGATTAAACCCTTTGTAAAACATGAACGAATACATACTTACAATAAATGGCAAAGAACTTTGTTTAAATATCTAGTTTGACATTTCGCTAGCGGCTAACGTTGCAGTTCAGTGGAAATCAATTCTTCTTCGCTGTTGCCGATGTCTGCACAGCGCAACCAGCTGTTGCAGAGCAGCGAAGAACTGATCTTCCAGAAAACTGCTGTTTTATCCAGGTGCGAAACTACTTTGAAGTTTATACATAAATTACAAGGTATCGAATCACTGTATAGACTTGTATACTTGCTGATACCCGATCCAGCATTTTTGATGCTGGTATTGGTTCCCTGAAGAAAGGAGAGACAGAAGAATGAAGTAAAGATACTAATTAATACAGAATATGAGTGTACAGATTAATAGATGATTTGTGTGTCTTGGGTCTTTGGCACTTGGACACTTGAGAGAAATATTTTGTGATCTGAGCAGCAGCAGGATAAATCCCCCGATGGACTCCAGACACAGGTGGTGGTGGTGGCTGATGAATGTGAGGCTGCTGAATGATGAGGCGGATGTAGCTGATGAATCCGTAAGGACTAGGAGGTGATGGGCACAAACAACTGCAACAAGAAAAAACTATGTCAGAGAAAGAACCATATTTAAAATGAGGACTTGTAAGATGATAGGCTGACAGAGGTGTGTCGCTGTGCTATTGGTTGATTGTGAATCAGCTGATGACTCAATTGACCTACTCAGACAATGACACCTAGAGAGAATGAGTAGGCATGGCAGGGTGAGAAAGAAAACTTAGTACTGTCTCCCTGAATGAACTTTCGCTAGAGCTTCATTTGTGGTGCATTCGTCAGTTTGTACTTACATTAAGTAAACTGGATTCAGCTTCATGCAAATGACTCCATCCGGTGATGATGGATTGTTTAGACCAGTGGTTCCCAACTGGTGGGTCACAGTCCAAAACTGGGTCATGGGTCCGTTCTGAATGGACCACAAGTGACTCACAAACACATCAAGTTTGTAAAAAAAAACACTTTCAAGCACAGAACTTTAACTTTGAAGTGCTGTTTCCTGCTGTAGAGTGAGTGACTAACAATCAGCTACTTGACAGAGACGGCAAACTAGCTCAACGACATGGTTACCAAACGCAAGTCTGACGCTGAATGTATTGAACTGTGGGACCTCGAACTCATGACTAAAGAGAAATCTGGACCCCTTAGCTGCATGGACCAGTTGGGAACCACTGGTTTAGACGGACTAACATAAAGCTTGTGAGCAGGCTGCCATGTTGTTTCCTGTTTGAAAAGGTGAGCAGTGAACCAGGGACCGCCCAACTGGCAGCGTCTATCCAATCAGGTGTTCTCCACAATAGGGTACGTCCTCAGTGGGAAGCACATGAAGTGTCCAGTTGAGTGGAGCAGCACGTCCCTAGCATCCTCACTGGATCTGGTGGTAATGTACTGTAAGTTAAAGCATTAATAAATGATTTATTAGCCATCACTAAAGCCATTAGCTACAATTTATTATCCAATCTGGAAATTGCTTCATTATACTTAAGAGACTCTTTAACTTTATCCAACTTGTTCTGGACATATTTTTATTTTTATTTGTCTGGCATCTCATTAAGCAGCTGGGCAAAAAACAGTTCAAGCAGCAATAACACACTGGCACAGAGTGTATATATAAAAACATATATTTATTGTTCTGTTACTGTTGGTTAACTTGATCAACAATAAATGGCGGCAGGCCAGGAGACACAACTGTACACATATTAATAGAAAGCCTTAGAGAGCTTCGGTTTTTCTGTTCAGTGGCAATTAACAATGCAAAGAGAGAAGAGGAGAAAAACAAACAATATTCGCTGTAGGCCGTACAGTTGATGAATGCTGGGTTTTTAATGGTGCGTTCAAAAGTCATCCTTCAGCCTCTTTCCAAAGTGGTTCATCTCCTAAGCAGATAACTTTACAAGAGGGGTAAAAATACTGTACATTGTTCTGTATATCAATGCTCCGTACACTTTAACTCCAAGAATAAGATCTTTTTTCATGTATCCTTTTTTAGGACAGTGATAACTACTCACTTTTATCTTCCCCCAAAACGAGCGAGGTTGAAGAAAGTCAAGTAAAGCTTTAAAGATGAATAAATGATCTTTAGACTCTCTAAAGAGAAATAGAGGTGCTCCGTACTCGACAAAATAGTGTGTGGATTAAAATAGATAAAGGTTATATATATTTATACTATATATACTATATAAAGGCTTAAATCTCTAGATACAAGGACAGCCACCAGTGCTGTCCGCACAAATTCCTCAGTACACAAACCCTTTAACGCAGCAACAAACTCACACCTGCTTTGTCTCATTTTCGCTCCGTGGACCATTTTGTCTCGTACTGTACATCTGCAGTAAAAGGATCACAGGATCCTGATCCCAAAAGTACATTTATTCCCACAGTGACAAGCTGAACCAGAGCAAATAAAGTAAACCTGTGGATGCAGTGTTGGGTTGAAAGCATCGTCCGCCTGGATGCGTATCAAGGGAGCACAGAGGTACAGCGAGTACTGTCTAGTTGTGATGTTTTTCAGGGTGTTTGATCATCAGAAACACAAATAAACCCCTGCGTATGAAACTCTTCTGCTTCCACTGACTCCAGGCTGAAAGGTACTGATCAATAACACAGAGCTCATTTAATTAAAGCAGAATGAAGCTGTTGAGCGAGAAGCAGTGGGCATCAAAGCGGGATCTGCCGTCCTATTGGCCGGATACCAACAAAAGGAGACGGGAAACAAAGGCAGGAGGAATGGAAGCAAGTCTCAGTGGTTGAGTTTCTCTTCAAGGCTGTGGTTGATTAATACAGTTCATATGTGAAACTAAGTGGTTCGGTTGGAAGATGAGCGCGTCTCTGAAGCGGACGAGACCAGGTCCAAATGTCTGTTTCAGTCCAGGCAAACTTTTACATTCCACACGCTGCAAAAACAAAATTCAGTTCCTCAAAAAAATTCACGGGAACCTTTCTCAGTCTCTCCTGCATCGTCCTCAGTGTCCTCGGCCTCCGTCGAGGAGCGCCAACATTCAGACTGAATGTGCAAATGTCGTCCGTAACGCAGAACCGTTCGAAAACAACTTGACAAGAACAATAGACAAAGAACTCTCTGCAGTCCCTGAAAACATCCCTTTCTCCCATCCACTGTGAGAAGTTCTTTACGCTGAACTGTTTCTCAATCTGAAATGAGTCAGTTTATGTGCCACAAAACTAATGGAAGAGAGGATTAGTGAAAGACTGCGTAAAAAATGTTCATATGCTGTTACCTCCACAAGGAAGTGACAAACAAAGGTATTAATTGCACATACTCCGACAAGTAACCAAACCAACAGCCGGGGCAGTTGTGTCCCATTTTAACTTCAAAGCGTCTAAAACCTCTGAAAACTGCAAAGCCAGAATTAGCTCAGTGTTCATCACCTACCTCGTTCGAATCAAAGCCCTGTGCAGAAGTGAAAAGCGCAGTGTGAAACGAGAGCGTTTAAGAGTTCAGTTGTTGTTAAATTTAACTTCAGACCGGCTTTTGATTTTTGAAACCACAGAGAGTGACATTTCATTGACTTGAACTTAGTGTCAGCTGTGCAAACATTGGGACTGACAACAGCTTCTGTTAGTGTGATCACGTCTGACTGCATTTAGTGATAAACTGAAGGTAACATCTAAAAACTTCTGAAGTATCTCTAAACTGTCTAAATGGACAATTTGTGGCAGATCTTTGGCTTCAGTGGTGAAACATGTTTAACATTTGTATCAGTCTAGATACAAAAAAATATCAAAGTTTTGTAGAGGACAAATCCATCGATGGTCAGGAAGTTCATTTTCTTTTCCATTTTCCCCCTTTCCCTTCATCTAAAAAGCTTCCCTTCATATTTAATTTCAAATCTGTTTTTTCAAGAATGAATTGTTTAAAATTAGGGCTGGGTATTGTAAAACTATGATGCTAGTACCAATACCAGGACACGTAAGGTGATACTGATACCAATTAAGTACTTAATTTGAAATCAGGGTTCCCACATATTTTTACATGAGTTTTTTAAAACGTTTCCATAATATTTTACCCCATGTCCATTACTTTACTTTTTTTAAGTAGCTAGGCCTATTTAGCAATCATTGGGCACTATTGTGGCTTCCAAGTAAGTTCAAAAATGGCCACCCACAGACGCCATAATGGGAGATATGATAAACTCACTGTCTTTGGTTTAGTTTTACTCACTGTTTGATGATTGAGGGTGCTTTGCTTGGTTTAAGAGTTGACTGATTTTCAGGATGTATAGAAAGGTGCAAGATGACGCTATGAGCTGATTGTCTTGACTGTCGCGTAAAAAAAAAAAAAATCACCAAACAAGCTTTCCCCAAATAAACAGGCCTTTACAAAAACAAAGTTCATAAAAACTTAGTACTGTAACCCCTGTAGCGTCATCTACGCTTAAGACTCACTTCAGCACACCTGCCTTTAATTAAAGGTGGTCAGGTGGTGCATTAAAGTGACTCAAAAAATAACAGGAAACTAGGACTTGCTAGAAATGGCTCTAACAGGCACAATAGTGAGGCTCGTACTCAAGTGTGCTTTTCTCTAACACAAGTATTATCGCAAAAATGTGTTATAGAATATGGAATGAAATGCCTTTGTGTCTTCACATACAGTAGACACAAAGCTGTAACGTTAACTGGCGTGGCTACAGCAAGCATGAAATAGCCTATATGTCGATACTTGCCTTTTGGCTGTCTTGATGTTTTTCCCTTTAGTGTGGCTGTCCAGAGCTGCTTCCCCTGCGTTACCAGTGTCAAACAATTTACATGTAGCACGACTAGGATCTGTCTCTTTCTGTCTTGAGCCATGTGTTATATTTGTAGTTTGAAAGCCACGCATTATTAAAGACACACTTACCAGGCATTTGCAGATAATCAAACTGCTAGCTGTTACTAACTTTACTTGCTTGCTGGATATTCGCGCCACCAACAAGCAGCATACGCCAATGCATATCACGTGATACTAGCGACCTTTTAATGGTCATGCGGCACAGTGCCAGCTTTTGTAAAAATTCACATTTCACGCATTGTTAATGTTTGGGGACTTTTTTGAACATATGTTTTAAAAATAGCCAAAACAATTTGAAACAGTTTTTCTTTTCCAGAACTTTCATGACTGTGGCAACACTGAATAATCCTTCTGCACTGTATGCGTTTATTTTGATCAGACGCCACCTCAGGTGTGAAGAAAAGCCATACTTTGCAATATATTTTGTTGGCATCTCTGCACGCTGAACTGCCAACTACGACAGATACGCCACGCTTGCCTTCACCACTCCATTGACTGTATGGTTTTTAGCTGCTGCAGTAGTGGGCCAATCACATGTTGCATTAAATTGAAGAAAGCCTGCAGTGGTTGGCTGTGAACAAATCATTCAAATAGTCATTTTTTTCTAGATCTGCATACAAAAAGTATCAAATGCAGGTATTGTTTGACAGGAGAAGTTTCGATACTACTTGGTTTTGGGGTTATCTTGGTTGATACCTTAAAGATATTGAGTACTGATACCCAGCCCTACTTAAATACAACAGTCTGAGTTAAATCTCCATTTCTGATGCTTTTTTAAGTTTCATCTCCAGAAAGACTTTGAGGGGAACTGTCTTCAGATGTCTCACGAAACTTTTCTCTGTTATATTGATGTGAAATATGATAAAATCTTAAACTTATTCCATTTGACAGTGTCTCAGTTTGATCCCAGAGACAGCTGCCATGCAAACTATATCTTATAAGTCGTCATCACAACTCTTAAGTTTTGCAGAATTTGGCTAAAAGAAACATAAAAATCTAGACTTGACTCACATATTTGATAAATCTCTTCAATCTGGAACTGATGGAGTGTTTTAACACACGTGAGACCAGCTGAAGAAACAGATGAAGTGAATAACGAAGAGACGTCTAGCACGTCACTGCCACGAGCCAAAATGACTACAACTTGTTGTAATGTTTGAGTTTGTCTTGGACTGGATCTGAGAACAATGTCAGACAGCCCCACTGTGTTTGCTTGACTCTTAACCGTCCTGCTGTTGTTAATGAGTGCTAAGAATAACCCTGATCATGACGCCGAGCCTGTTTGATGGGAGCACAGGCTCTCGCTCTGTTGATTTGTTTGTCCATAAAGAAAACACAGACATTTGCACAACCAGCTGTTTGGTTTTAGGTGAGCACTGTGGCTGCTGCAACAACAAAGCTGACTATTAGCTTACATCACACATTAGCATCAGCAGAGGGACCACACGGGGGAAGTTGAATCTGTTTCCATAGTAACAACTGGCTGGAGAAACTCAGAGCGGCTGTGACTGAGTCAGGTGGAGGGTGTGTGTCTGATGTGTTTGGGTTTGGCTCGGTGCTGCGTGCGCTGGCTGGCTCTGGGATTGAGGATGTGGCTGCGGCTGCTGCAGGATGTGCACCACCCGGCTCAGGGTGTCTGTGGTGGCAAACGCCAGATACTGGCAGCACAGCCAGTCCTCCAGGCTCACGCCGCAAGCCGCGTCCATCGAGCGCTCCGCAAACTTGATCATCATCAGTGTCCGCTTCAGGTCCAGCCAGTTCTGGAGGGTGGCCTCGCGCTGACTAGCAGTGGCCCCTGACATGGGGCCCGTGCTGCTGCAGCCCAGTGCCTGGAACAAGTCCTCTCGAGGGCCCCAGAGCAGGCACTGTAAGCAGGCTCGGGCCTCGGACATGCGGATCCTTTCAGATGGGTTGACAGTGAGCAGCAACCGGGCCAGCTGCTGCAGGCCCTGTGAATAGAGCGATCTGACAGGCAGTGGCGGCAGGTCCGCCCAGGTGTACTCCCGCTCCTTCAGCTCCGGCGTCTCCTCGAAGGGGTTGGGCCGGTGCAGCATCTCATAGATGAGAATCCCAGTCTGAAACTCGTCACACTTGCGGTACTGAGTCGCTGTGACAATTTCGGGTGCAAGGCGTGACTGGTCGCGCAGTGTACCAGGGTCTGTAGCCATGAGAGCGCTTTTCTGTTTTGCTTGGGAAAAGTTACTGATAATTAGGCGGGCGGGGCAGGTGGCGTTGGCGGCAGCAGTAGCAGCGCTGGCAGAGGTTGCACCAGAGCTGCTGCTGCTGTTGCTGTTGTTGTTGGGCTCAAGAATGTCCAGATTCCAGGGGTTGCCAGGTTGGCAGTGGACCAGCAGCAGGTTTTCCAGTCGCAGGTCACAGTGGGTCACATGATAAGGCTTCATGTGCTCCAGGCCGGAGCACAGCTGCAGCAGCAGGAGACAGACCTGACGCTCGTACAGCTCCGGGTTATGAGTGTGTCGTGCTGCGCCTTCTCGGACAAAGTCAGCCACCGTCTGGAAGGGCACCTCGCGCGTGATTACCACCACTCGGCTCCTCAAGCGGCCGACAGTGTTCATGTGACCTGCTGCTGGGGTTTCATCTAATTTACCATTTGGCGCTTTGGAGTCCGTTGTTTTGGTTTCAGTCTTTGTCTCTTTCTCTTTCTCCTTCAGCCCGTTGGCATCTTCCTCCTCATCCTCTTCCTCCTCTTCACCTTCTTCCTCTTCCCAGGGCAGCAGGCGGGCGGGAACATCAGCCAGGAAATGTCCACAGTCCTGCTGGATGTTGAAGTGCACAGCCAGGCTCTGTCTCACCGCAAGGCTGTGGAAAAACTGCTGCTGGGTCTCCTTCACTTTGCTCCGACAGATCTTGGGAAGATAAGAAAGAGAACATCATCATCAGTGTTAAAGTTTGAGCTGTAAAACTTCTCATCATGAAGCTTTTTGTGAACAACAATTTGCTAAATTATAAATACTGCTATAAAATATATTCTATGTTTTTCTTATTGTCAGCAAATCCCATTACAGACAATGAATAAACTCCACTAACAAGTACAGTCTGTGTAACCACAGCCTCATTTATCTTACTCCTCTGTGGCATAGATAGCCTATTAAAATGCACTAATGAGCCACACTGTTGCACTGGGTGTCATATTCCTTTATTACCATAAACGTGGGCACTGTGCTTTAATTTGAGTCAGGCCCATATATGCTGTCCTGCTGGCAGAAACTGTCACTAGAACACTAAATGTGTGTTTATACGCAGCTAAAGCTAGTCCCCAACAACTTCACTATTTCCTCCTCTCTGAGCAACGTTTGCTAAAAAGAACATCGCCAAACTGCTTTTGGAAATTATTTTAATTGGAGAAAAAAAGGAACTATATATTTGAGGTCTGTTTTAAAGATTTACATCGTTAAAAGGCGACTGAGTTTGGGGTTGAGAGCAACATAGGGTAGGGTAGGGTAGGCAGTGCTGAGGGCTAGGGTATAGCCTATCGGAGCTAGGTCGCATGATATGTTTTCCAACCACACTGGAAATCAAACGTGTTTATAGTTGTTCCAAACAGCCATGCTCAAAGGCTGGGTGGAAAGCCAGCTCTCACAGAGAAGAGAGAGAGCCATATCGGTGCACATTTTCAAACTCTTTCTCCTGGAAGACATTCATAGAGTTGCATGCGGTTGTTTACATGACAGAGACAGAAATAGTTATGTAAAGATGAAAAAAAAAAACATTAACACATTCTTGGTTTCCTTTAACATAGTTGTCATTAACGTTTAAATGACGAAGGTCGCTGTTCATGTAAATGTTTATCTGCCAAGCACTTGTAAAAACTGATATTAAAAGATCGCTATTAATTCTAATGAAATAAAATAAACAGAAACTGCCTCTGGACTGCCACGGGAGACTTTTCAACAAACAGCAATCTTCTGCAACATCAGGAACAAAACACACCATTTTAGCAGCGAATGCACAAGAGAACTCTGAGATCAAAGATGTTCTCTTGTCTCCAAACTCTCTGTCCCGCTCTGTTTCTCGAGAACATTTCCAATAATGATATATAGAGCGGAGAGAGGCAGCAAGCACACTTCAGGCTGTCACCGACAACAGCAAGAGCGTGTCTCTGTCTCCTAAACCGCAGTGACAGCCTCTGCAGCTCTCTGTCTTCCTACACTTTGATCACAGCAAAGAGAAGAGAAGCCAGGTCAAGGATAGGATCGGTCTCTGCAGACGTCACAATGTTTACCAAAATACCAGCAAAGGAAAACAAGTCACGACATACTATAGAGATATTTTTGGTTGAAAAACAATTTAACTTGTTTCTTCATCTGAGTTTATCAGTAATTATCTTACAATGACTAATTTGCTGACACCAAAAACACTGGCAAACATTTCAATAATTAAAAAAAAAAAAAAATACCATGGAAAACTGATGTTCAGATTCAGAGATGGAATATGTGTGGACAAACTAAATGAATTAAATAATACTGATGAATTGAGGCAAATGATGCCACACTTTACAATACATGACATCAGAATTTACAGCAAGATTTACTTATTAATATCACACCTGCAGTCTCAATTAATTCAAGACCAAGAACCTTGTTGAATTTTCATCATATTTAGTGTTGACAGTGTGCTGGAGTTTATTACTTCTGTTACATGATGACATTTTCCAACAAGGTTCTTGGTCCTAGATCAAGGGTTGGCAACCTTTACTATCAAAAGAGCCATTACTGACCAAAAAACGAAAAAGAAAAATCTGTCTGGAGCTGCAAAACATATTTAAATAAAGGTAACAGCCTATTAAGTCTTTATCAGCCCATCAACATTACCAACAGGCCTAAATGAGCATTTGTGAATATGATTTACTACAAGGTGGCTACTCTGCAGTGGGCTATTTATAATTTAGTACTTTCACTTTGCAGTGTTGGTGGTGAAAGCAAATGAATCTGTCCACACTATTAAATTCTCTATTTTCCTCCAGGACTTTTTTTTGGATTTGGAATCCACAGCTAGCCTCGCTAGAGAGACTCCAGGCCACTGCTACTGAAGTTCACTTAAATTTAGAGGAAAAGGCACCAGGTAGTAGACACATGACAAACATTTTACTTAATGAAATGTTTAAACAATTTTAATTCATTTTATAGGCTACACATTTTTATTAACTGTATGATGCCGTGATCACTTTAGGTCTACAACAATGAGAAATGAAAATCTCAATGTTAAAAAATAACTGTTATCCATTCCCAGATAATTTTATGTCAAAGCTACAGGGAGCCACTGGAGACAATCCAAAGAGCTGCACGTGGGTCTGGAGCCACAGGTTGCCTGCCCCTGTCTTAGACCTTTGTCAGAGCCTGAGGTTGATTTTTGTTTACAATCATGGTTTACTATTTGGTAGTAACAATCTGAATGTATAACAAAAAGGTGAGTTCATTTCCCTCATACTAAACAGGACTTTAAAGTTGAAACTGAAATGTTTATAAATAGTTATTTTTCTGAGAGCAAAAATTACATTATATTTTAACAATGTACTACAAAGTCTGTCCAAACTCATGTGATGTTGGTTTTGGTGACTTGCTCAGGGACACTTTGACATGTGGATGGAGAAGCCAGGACTCACTCACCCTATGCTTACTGGCTGACACACTCGTTCAAGTGGGCTACAGCCACCGTTGATATGAATCATGACATGGCAATTCAAACCAGATTATTAAAGGCAGGATTTTACTAAAAAAGAAAACAACGTATAAACTCATACAAAAGTAATCCCTCTAAATGATCACTTATGACCCACTGGTGCATTTATCTGCAGAGACTCTGCACTCTGCCTGTGTTTTCTTATTATCTTCTTATTTTGCTTTGTTCAGGACATACATGGGCATGTAGCCCCCGGCCAATAACAGTGCGAGGTGAGGTCGAGACTTTTGAAAAGGTGGCGATCAGGTAGTAGCAGCACTCATCCAAGAGAGAGACACACAAAAATAATAGACACAGCACTGAACAAAAATCTGAGCAAGTAAACAAAGTGCAAATACAATGAGGCAAAACGGCAAGCGGACAAAAACAGGAGCTAATCTGAGGCTGACTTTTGCTTTCACAGGCAAGCACTGAAGGAGAGGATGAGGATGAAGAGTGCCACTGAGTTGGCCTGGTTTCTGTTTAACAGGTAGGTACTGGCAGTTAAAATACAACACACTAAAAATAGGTTACAGGCTCCTCTTCCATTTCCAGTAAACCAGAGCTGTCTGTAGATAAGTACTCCTTTCGGGGTTTTTTTGTTTGTTTTTTTGGTTGTTTGTTTGTTTGTTTGTTTGTTTCTGGTGTGTCACGTTTGATGTCAGGAACAAGCAGGAAAACAAATAAATAGTAGAAAGCAGCATGGAGGCGAGTGACAATGTGATGGTGGTTACTTATTTCTCATATCTGTTACTGATCTCGTGTCTCTTTTAGGGTGCTTTCACACCTGTATTTTGGTTCATTTGGTCGCACCAGAGGGAAAAAGTGATGCTGACTTTTTGCAAATGAAGAGATAACATGAAGTTGTACAGACATCACTGTCACACACTTGTAAATGGACTTAATGCACAAAGTACACAGAGCTCAATACAGTTTTAACTCATGTCAGTGTGGAAAATACCCACACTGACATGCATATGTTACTATGGTTACATGTAAGCATTAGCATAGATAGTTAATGAGCCTTTATAAGGATCAATTATGACATGACAGATTTCACGATCAGCAAAGGGATTTATCATTAGTTTGGCTGTTGAAATCATCCTAAAATTACATATCTGCCACCATAAAAACTTGTTGTTGGTTCATTTTCCTAGCCTGGAAATCCAGACCCAAATCTAGAAAGATTTATGGTCTGGCTATGAGTAATGCAAATGGCCCAACTCGAGGGGAGGCACCAAGCATGCATTTGAAAATATCACTGCACGCAATTGGATAACACTACGACCAATCAGAACAATACACGAGGTGACGTATCCAGAGCGCTACCAGCGGAGCTAACTGGTAGATTAGACTCTTGCCGTATCCGGTCGGCAAAACAGCAAAAACATCTTTCTTGCAAAGGAAAGAGCGCCGTCTTCTGTTCCTCTTTTAGAGAAAAAGCCAAGTCTAACTCGTTCATTGTAGCGGCCAAAGCCGTTTCAAACAGCTGGTGTTCATCCGTAGCCATCTTGCAATGTTTACTGACTGATTCCGAACTTTGTCGTTGCAGCGCTGTCGTCATCTGTTTAGCTCGCCTCTGGCCCGCCTATATCAGATACACCGATGTGATTGGTGCAGCTCGGCTACAAAGGCATAGGTAATGAGCATCATTACTGATTGTCAGAGTGACTCGCTAAGCAAATTCAAATTGAGCTCTCACAAGAACTCTGGATTTCCAGGGTATCATTTTCCTTAAACTCAGGGCAAACTAATTTTGAACAATGTTTGAGTGCTGCATTTAATGGAGACCGACAGTAGTTTGTGGCAGTGTGTCATCATATCATGCTGGAAAAAGGGCTGAAAGTTAGCATGTTCATCCACCTGATCACTGCCAAATGTAGACGATCGAGCTAGAGCAGATAAATATTTATGACTTCCACAGAAACATTTGTCCTGGAAATTATTGTTGATTGTAACATTTCCCACTAAATGCAAAAGGGAGATGATAGCAGGTTTAAGTGTTTTTTTCCCAGTGGTAAAGGTGATTTAGTTATGTTGTTAAAGTATTGCTTTTCCATTACAACAAATTCAACCTACAGTAGGAGCTTGCAGTGTCTGAACAAGCAGTGTAGGGAGGAGGGTGACAAACCCTGCATAGTGTACCTTTAAATGTAATGAAATGAACACATCCCACTGTTTGTATTATATCAGACGACACTCTTAACACATGCAAAACAAATGTAAAACCTGTCTTTAAAAAATGCCTTTCTTTCTTTGAGTAACAAGGCTGCAATAAAACAGTGTGTTATTCTATCACTGCTACTACTTCAATCATTTCACTTTATTACTTCTATTAATGGCGACTTGAACCTTGGTGGTCTCTTTGGCGTAATTTATGTACAGCTTATTATTAGACTGTGATGTGGGATGAGGAGCTCTTCCCTTTAAACACACTGTGTAACTCTTTAGGAATGTGCATGTTCACTGATGTTTGTTAAGACATGTTGGCTCTGAGACTACAGCTGCCTCCTGATCATTCATCCCGGACATATTTGTAGAGTTCTCTCTGTTTGGATGCCATATTTTGTGAGCAGAATTGCTGGTTGGTACAAAAAGCTCAAGGTTAACCGGCAATCCATTTAATTTATTGTTCCCTCTTGTTTCCTTAATGTTGACATTTCAGAGATACTTTAAAGATTTAAAGTGCTCCGACTCACTCGCAGAATTCCTCTGAGAGTCAAGAATTCACACAGACATGCTAAAGGTGGATAGCGAATAATTAGCACTGCATTAAAAATATCATAACGTGTAAAATCTCATTTGCAGGAGGATCAACTACACTTATGGGGTTAAGGAAGGCAGGAGCACAACTGGGCCACATTAAAATAGAGAGTTGGGGAGAGTTTAATTGGGAAGCCGGGGCCTGTTTGTGTTCTGCTGCTCCTGGTTGCCTTATTTATGGATGAGCATCATAAAAAAACGAGACTTTCTCTTGAAAGCTCGCTGCTAATACGAGGGCGAAGCTTTGAAGTGCTGTGGAGCACAGAGAGAGTTTCATATCCTGTGAATAATGCAACCTTCATCCATATCTGCTTTGTATTAGTTTCAGAAGTCTTCCGTAAGCTGTGTCCCCGACCCCCACCTCCCTCTCCTCTCGCTCACACACACACTGACAAAACTGCTACCCACGCACAATTATATATAAATATATATATAAAAACAAACAAATGCATGCACACACAGGTTTTATTGCACAAGGTCGTGCCCTAAAGGCTCAAAGTTTAAGTGCCAATATTTCAGCACAAACACCTTCCTCCACCTCGGCAGAGAGAGTGGGAGGAGATTCCTCCACACAAAAACAAAGTACAAGGATTTAATAAATGGACGGCAAGGACAGCAACCACCAGATTCATCTTAAAACCCATCTCGATGCGGGGAGAAAACAAACAACAAAAAACAACAAACAAACAACCACACACTAATGAATTCAGACTAATAAGATGCTGTTTGTAGCAGTATTTGGTAAAAGCATAAAGAACAAACTACTCGCTTTAGGCCTGAAGCTGGTGGCTGGGTGGGTGAAAACTTTAGATACTCTGATTGGAAAGTGGGACAAACTAGCTTTAGTTACTGTATATTTTCAGGGGTCATAAAAAGTTTGAGCATTTCAAATATTACATATAACTAAAAACTAGAATTACCACCGTGCGGTTGTGTGCCTCTGTACACCGGTCAAGTTTCTCTTACAGTTTAAATCCATGTCTTTGAAAACATGGATGCTTCAACCAACATCTTCCCCCCAGCAGCACAGAAGATCTATACAATCTGCAGTTTCAAGATAGACACCGAAGATTTGTGTCATCAATTTAGCGTTCCCTTCTTTTCCTGAGATATAATGTTAGTGATTGGCCAGAAAGGTGTTTTGCAGAGCATTATGATGCCACAGTGAAGTTGACCTTTTGGAATGACAAATGTCCTCACTTCATAACTATATCCAATTAGACATTTGTTGTTTTGTGAGGTCACACTGACCTTTGACCACCAAACTCCATACAGTTTTTCTACTTTAGTCCAAGTGAACATTTGTGTCTAATTTGAATAAATTCCCTCAAGGCGTTTTGAGATATCGTGCTCCAGAGCCCTAACAACGTAATGGATATAGTTAGATTGGGGGAAAAATGTGTTGTATTACAGTATTGCGATATTTTTCGCATGGCAATATCGTATCAATACACAGACGCCAAGTATCGATTTTTTCTTATTATTTAAATTATCAACATTACGGGGCACCCAGTAGCTCTGTGGGTAGCATAGGCGTCCCATGTACAAAGGCAATGTCCTTGTCACAGCAGCCACGGGTCTAATTCCACCCTGCAGCCCTTTGCTGCATGTCATCCCCTCTCTAGCCACCTTTCATGCTTAGATACTGACCTATTAAATAAAGGCAAATAGCCAAAACATAATCTTAAAAATACTACAATTTGCTGCAATAAAAATGTTTGAGCGTGTGAGATGAATCCACAGAAATCTTTATCTTATTAGTTTAAACTGATGTTGAGACATTGAGACATAATTTGCAGTTGAAAAAAGGCAATAAATTGCAATATACTGCAATTTATGTCATCCCAATACTCCCAATCACAATAATATTGTATCATGATAATATCATATCGTGGGGCCTCTGGTGATTCCCAGCCCTAATACAAAGTATTATTTATCAGAAATTGCACCAAATTAAGACATTATTAGGACCAAATGGGACTCTTAATACCAATTCAAGGAATATAATCATACAACAGTCTGTGATTCTTGTAGTCACATCTAGTGGTTTCATGTGGAATCAGCACTGGGGCTACAACTATCAATTGTGTTTTTATTATTGATTAATTTGCTAATTATTCCCTTGAGTAATGGAATAACAGAATAACATTTCCCAGAGTCTCTGGTGACATCTTTAAATGTCTTGCTTTGTCTTAACAATATTCTGAAACACAAAGATATTCAGTTATATAATATGTGATATGTAACATGATTAATCAATCATCAAAATAGTTCCTTTATCTACTACTGTACTTAAGTTTTTGTGAATCAACTTATTGTTTAATCACCGTATTGTTGCAGCTATACAGCATGTATTTCACATGCATTAAAATTTTTAACACATCTAAACACTAGAGTACATTTGTCATGAGACATAAGCATGGGACTGAATATACTGGAGCTAAATTTCAGTAAACTTTATGGACTTTAATGACACCTCTCAGGGCCTGGAGATGAGAGGCAGCACATTTTAAGCCTAAAGGGAGGGTTACTGTAATTTTCCTCTTACCTGAAGTGCTATTTATCAGTCTGGATTGTTTTAGTGTGAGTTGCTGAGTGTTGGAGATGTCAGCCGTAGAGATGTCTGTCTTCTCTCAAATATAATAGAACTAAATGGCACTCAGCTTGTGGTGCCTAAAGCAAACAAATTGGCACTACAGCTAAGAGTAAAATATGTATTTTTGATTTCAGGGTAAACTGTCCCTTCAAATTTCTCTGACCATCTGCAAACATAATTATACTGCACATCCAAACAGGCAGGGTCAATGTGAAAGTTGTCACCTGACAGAACGCACTGATCTATAAACAGAAGCAGATATCTCACCTTGATGGCATAGTTGACCAGTGGGTCCTTGGCATAGGAGGCAGTGTAGTAAACAGCATCTCCCGCCTCACAGCAGGGTTTCCCAGTGGTCAGCCTGAAGTGGGACCAACTGTCAGTGCCGAATCTCAAGTGATCCTTCTGTCCAGCCATGAAACGGTCCTCGCACTTAGCTGCCAGCTTCCGCAGCGTGTCCGTGTGGAGCCCCCGGATTCTCCCCACCACCTCATCCCAGCTGTCTAACCCCCTGTACAGAGCAGCTCTCTGGGGTTTGGAGCCTCCAGCACTTCGACCTGTTGTCCGACCCCTTCCAGCCAGAGACTCTGTGCTTGGGTAGACTCTCCTCTCTCTGCCAGCCGTGGCACTGGGCGCAGCAGGCGAAGGTTGAGGAACCAGGGAGGACACGCTGTTAGTCGGGCGGCCCTTGTTCGCAGCCGTGGCAGCTGTCTGCCTCTCCAGGGAGTCACCACTCTCATGGTCGTGGACTCGATGAGGCTCGGAGCTTAGAGATGAGCTCTGACTCGCCGTCTCCCAGGTGGAGTCCAAGTCATAGATGGGGTTGGCCACGCTCAGGTTAGTGCCCCCAGGTCTAGCCTCAGCACGAGGTCTCAGGCCTCCCTGGATGGACTCTTTGCCTCCCAGGCTGGGTTCAGTATTGGAGCGAGGTACATTCTTCTTAGGTAGTGGAGGTGGTGTGGCTTTAGGGGCTGGCTGGTCAGCAAGGCCGTCCAGGTCAATGGAGGCCAAGGTGTCATTGGATGCTTTGATGTGTCGTGGCTGTTTCAGAGGGATCATGTTGACTCTGGATTGACCTGGAAGACAAGAAAGATAACGTGTGTTGTAAGAAGAATTAATAAAATTCAAATTGATTCAACCACTGAACTATAAAACTGGGTGGAGGGCATAAAGCCCAAGCAGTCTTAAACAACAGAAAAAAACAGCTAAAACAAATTTGTAATAATTAGAAGATAATGTGATGTCAGTACATTGCACACATCTCCTTTCACTATTACCAACCCAGGCAGTCTGCTCAGAAAGTAACTATGTACAATGACTTCATCATTTTTAGTGAGCACAATTTAAGGTAATTGGACTTAAGTATTTCCAGTTTATGTTACTTTACAGTTGTAATCCACAACATTTCAAGGGGAACTTTTGTTCTCCACTGCATTCCTTTTACAGTACAGTAACTTCAATGCAGATTGAGATTTTACATGATCTTAAAACATGATAATTTTTGCTCTAATTTCTAAGGATCAGCCACTTTTTGCCATTTAGTTGACGGTTTTAGATTTTACTTTCATGTTTTGATTCTTTCGGGCAGAAAATCATTTTTCATTAATAAAATGTTGGCCAAAAAATACAAATTTTCTTCTCCTCCAAAGAGACTATTTGTATATCAATTAATCACCTCATGTTATATTGAATTTGTAAAGAAAACCCTGTTGTCCTTGCATGCCTCAATGGTGAAGAGAATCCAAAACAAGGCAGATATTCCTCAAGCATTGAAGTAAACCAGAATGTGTTTACACTACTGCTACAGCAAGACTATATTAAAACATTGGCTCATCAGTGTTGTACTCAAGATCAACTAAACCAAGACAAAATCAGGGCAAGAACCAGAGTGTATCAGGACCGAGACAAGACCAAAACTTATAGGGGTTCAGACCAAGTCTAGACCAAGAACAGATCAGCACCTTTGTTACAAATGAACACTAAGGAGCTGATATCAATGTAACCTCTTTCAACACTCCTTTTCATGCACAGGCAATTTACTGATATCTCCACAGATGTGGTCTTGACCAGTCTTGAAATAAAATCCTGAGTCCTCTTCGTCTGAGCCGAGACAAGACTGAGCTTAAATGCTGTTGAGTCCAAGATGAGACTGTGACGTTCCCGGTCTCATGCAGTATTATCACAGTCTTAATTATCCAGTCTCATGCTCAGTACTTCCAAAACACATGCATCTTCACTAAAACCTTATGATTTAAAACATGTCAGTACAAACAGTCTCACACACAGCCGAGTGGAGTGCCTGGGCATTCATAAGAAGCTCATACGCATGCGTGTGCTCAGGCAGACTCAGGGCACGCTACTCATACGCAAAATGTTTTATATTCTTACATTTTGGTGAAAATTCAGGTGTTTGGGAAGCACTGATTATACAACTGGAGAACTGAGACTTAGATTATACTGCACGAGTTGTGTGTTTGTGAGCAGATGTTTTATAGAGATTTGCTTTTGTTAAACAAGGAATAAGGTGTTGAGCTATTTTGGATTCTTCATTCACCATGGAGGCTAGAAAAAGAGAAAACGTTTTTCTCACAAATTCAAGGTAACACAGGTTGTATTAAGTAAGGTTATAAGTATTCTTTTAAACAGCACCTTTTGTGATTTTAGCTGTTGAGGTTTTAATGATCTGATAAAATGTAAAAGATAAAACGACACAAAAACCAGGTAGTAGATGTGATTTATAGTTATCACTGAATCTGACTTTCACAGAAGTCAAAGCAGGATTCCTCACAGCTGAAAAAGATAAAAATTGACACCTGAAACACAAATCATCTCACACTCTTTGACCACCAGCTTCCCTGGGCTTGTTGTTCCTCCCACATGGCGTTTCCTGCCGCCCACTGGCTTTCTGCCTCTCAAAGAGACGAGATGCTGACACGAGGTTGTGTGCTGCGGCACGTGAGGGAACTGGTGGCCCTGAGGAAAAATTCAAGCCAGAGAGCAGGACAGCTGGGCACAAGTCGTCCCTCCAATAGTCCAGCTGCCCGACTCAATCTGCAGTTCTGTTCTGCAGTGAGGCTTAAAGAGGCAGCATGGAAAGCACATTTATCACTGGCTTCAAGTGACCTTATTTTTCTGGGATGGTGGTGGGAGGGAATTGGAGGGGTTGAGGGGTTGATTGGACTCCCTCGATGTTTTCTGGAGTCCAGGACCACAGAGGCAGATGGGTCAGAGACAAGTGTCTGTTCAGATGAAAAGAACAAGGGGCTGTGGCGCTTGCATGATGGGAATAAAACAGCCTGATAGTTTTAACTGAGTGGGTGTACAAGGTCACAGACAACCCTACTGCGCAGCTTTTAGCTCACCAGGGAATACCCCAATTTCTTGGAAGATCACGATGAGAGGCTGTTTTACGATGATGTCTTCCAAAGTCACATCTTTTGCCAAATTACTTTTGCCGTCCCTACGGTGAAGGCATCTGCTTGTACAAACCGTTTCTCTTTGCTCAGTGCAAATGCGACTGACTACAAATTCTTGTTTAACGATATGAGTGGCTCCTCACGTGTGCGTCACGCTGCCATCATCTTAAGAAAGCAAAAGAAGCCTTAAGAAAGAGCTGTCAGGATGAAGTAAATGAGTCTCGGTAATCCTCCCTGGAACGGGTATATTTAATGTGTTCCTCCACCAATCTGCAGTAATCCATCCAAGAAAACAACCGTCTCCCTCGTCCAGTCATAGGGAGCTTCTATTGCAGCAATGTGGCTGCGGCTCTAACTAAATTACATAAAACTAACTCAGTCTGTCACATCGTCATTTCCAAATCAAGAATACTTTTTATAATCACAATTCTCAGAAATAAATGTGACGATAAAACAACTTGCATGAAAGAACTCAAAACCCCATACGGCTCATATGAACATATTACTTTACAATAAATAACCTAATGAAATAAGGGCTGCAACTAAGTGATTAATCTCCCAATTATATTTTGATTGAGCTTTTGCCATCAGGGCCAGTTGGATTTGGGATGACTTACCTGAGGAAATAAGGCTCACAGAATCAGTGACCTCTTTTAAATCACTTACTGAAACCCATTTTTACAGACTTGTTTTTATGTGATGTCGTCTTTTCATTTTTATTAGTATATTTATTATGTTTATTGCTTTAATTCTTTTCATTGTATTTACTTTAATTAATTTATTTATTTATTTTTAAATTTCTCATGATTATTTTTTCTGTTGTGTTCATCTACCTTAATTTTGTCTTGCTTTGGTTTAGGTTTGGCTTTCTACTATTTTCTTTTTATGTAGGATCATTGTTCTTTAATCTCCATGAGCCATTTTGGCCTCTAACCTCTCCTGCATATTATGAAAATTCATTAATATATATGTATACAGTACAGGCCAAAAGTTTGGACACACCTTCTCATTCAATGCGTTTTCTTTATTTTCATGACTATTTACATTGTAGATTCTCACTGAAGGCATCAAAACTATGAATGAACACATGTGGAGTTATGTACTTAACAAAAAAAGGTGAAATAACTGAAAACATGTTTTATATTCTAGTTTCTTCAAAATAGCCACCCTTTGCTCTGATTACTGCTTTGTACACTCTTGGCATTCTCTCGATGAGCTTCAAGAGGTAGTCACCTGAAATGGTTTCCACTTCACAGGTGTGCCTTATCAGGGTTAATTAGTGGAATTTCTTGCTTTATCAATGGGGTTGGGACCATCAGTTGTGTTGTGCAGAAGTCTAAACACCTCTGGGAACTCCTTCAAGACTGTTGGAAAACCATTTCAGGTGACTACCTCTTGAAGCTCATGGAGAGAATGCCAAGAGTGTGCAAAGCAGTAACATAGCAGTATACATACATACATACATATATATATATATATATATATATATAATAAATAAAATAAAAAATAAATAAAACAAAATAAATAAAATAAAAATATATATTAAAAAATAAATAAATAAATAAAATAAAATAAAAAAAAATAAACTATCTCGCCTTTGGGGTACCTTGCTTCAGCTTTTCTTTGTTTGTCAAAGCACTTTGTAAACTCTGTAAACTGTTATATAAATGAAGTTACTATTATTATCATTCCTTGTTTAAATATCCATCACAATGTTTTCAGAGCCTAAATTGACACCTTCAAAATTCTTCTTTAGTCTGATAAGAATAGTTGTAGACTACATTTTTTTTATCTAATATTAACAATATTAAAATACCATGAGTAACATTATTTTTGTCATTTTGACTGTGATTTCAATTATTTAGTTAATAGTTCTTAGTTAATATGGCCTTTTAATTCAACTACACAACATGCTGTAATCTTAGTGTGAAGGAATAGGATCAGATTTGGAAATTTACACTGCTATTATTATCTGTGCCTGGTGATTCTGACCAAATACCTCAATATCGATATTGCTACGATATTGTAGGGTTCACTATTGGTGCCTTCACAAAAATATTTAACTGAGATTGTTGATAAATAATCATGAGTAATTTGGATATAATGACTAAATGACTAAAGGTAAACAATAAAAAAAAGCTAGAACAGTCTGGTAAGTTCAGAGAATTACATAAATTTACTGTAATGCAGCCTTTAAATCCACAAAAAGACAACACTTATGATATTACTGTATCCAAAATCTCAGACAATATCTTGTCTCATATCAGGATACTGACAATTCAGTTGAACAAACATTGTGACAGATGCATGGTAAAAGTAAGACCCCTTAAAATAACCCATCAAACATCTTTTTTAATGTTTCAGGAAAGTGGTCCACATTAATGAAAACTGATGACCATAAGTACAAAGTTACTTCCCTATCATTTAAACACACTGCTGTCCAACTAAACTTATTTTGACCTGTGTCCATCTCGAGGAGATAAAACAGTGGAGAGTCCCAATCCCTCCGAAATCTGTTCCGGATTAAGAAGATAATAGCATTTTCTTCTCCTCTCGAACACAGAGCCTAATGTGTCTGAGACAACTCTTTGCAAATTCAAGAGGCATCGCACATTATCCAGCAGGGTTGGGTTCATGATTTCCTTTCTCTTTCAGTAAAT